TGGAGAAATCATATTCTTTGATGTTATTTTCATATAGCTCATATATGATCATGTGTTTCTATGATGATTCAATGATAACAGAGTCTATGGTAAATGGACAAGATTACCAAAGCTCCTCTCTGCCACCAATGACTACATGGTGACACTTGAGAGTGCTGAGGCTAATTTATTTTTGTATGGCACTCTACTTCTTTTCTCCTCTATGTCTAAGGAAGAAAGTGAACCTTACTACAGATAAAGTAGTAAGGCTTCAAGTTCAAAATAATTAAGAGGGCCCTGGCTGATGTGGCTCAATGGATTGAGTGCTGGTCTTTGAACCGAAGGCTTGCCTGTTTGATTGCCAGTCTAGGGTACCTGCCTGGGTTGTGGGTCAGGTCCCCAGTAGGGGGCGTTTGAGAGGCAACCACACATTGATGTTTTCTCTCCCTCTCCTTTTCCCTTCTGTCCCCTCTCTAAAAATAAATAAACAAAATCTTTTTTAAAAAGTAATTAAGTGGATTCTACATATACCTAAATAATCAGTCATAAACACAAACTTAGAATTTCCATGTGATATATACACCCTTTTTTGAAAAGATTAATAAAATGGCCACACACAGAGGAATTAGCCTTCAGAGGAGGGAAAGATTTGAAAAGCTGGGAAGACTGATATTCATTAACACGTGTTCATTATATTCACTCATGCTACACTCATATTTAATTAATATGAGTCTGCCATATTCATTCAAGCCATACTGTACACAGCTTGAAAAGGATAAAGCAAGAGCTAGGAAATTACAGGACAGAGTCACAGTCAGACAAGAGAAAAGACAACCAACCGTTTTACAGACTTTCACGGAAGCCAACACCCATGAGACCAACAAGAAGGTCATACCTGTTTCAGAACTGCATGCCTCCTAGGGTGCTGCCCACCTCATGGAATTGGAACCATAGGAACAGGTGATGTCCTCCAGAAATCAGCCCTGTTTTCTTTAGCAATGGGCCAGGTCTCCCTGGAGTTCAATTCACCATGATGACTGCCAACTCTGTTGCTCTTTTGCCATTTGAAAGCCCTAAGCTGGAAATTTCCTTATTACACATTTCTAAATATTCCTGCCAGAGGATTCAAACCCAGCAATGTCTCTGATCCAACCAAAGACCTCAATTTGCACAGCCTCTAAAATATGTCTAGAGACAGTGGCCAGAGAAGAACGTACGGTGTGGTACGTTTGGAGAATTTAGTAAGCAGTGGTAGTGAGACTTGGAATGAATAATGACAAGTATATCATAGAGATGTGAATAAAGGCAAAGTACTGGAGAAAAGAAGGTACAAAAGGGAGAAAGGCAGAGAAGCTGATTAGAAGTGTTTTTGCTTCTTGGAAAGCCTTAGCTGGCACAGAGCTGGGCTACAGGCACAGACTGGGCTGGCCAGCAAAGCTGAAGCAAGAGGCTTTTGCCTCAAGATTATGGCCAGTGGCTTCCTCTTCAGCTGAAACATCATCCTTCCTTCCCATGCTTTTCTGTCCATTAAACAAGAGTGGAACACAAAGCCTTCAAGACAGCTGTTTCCCTAAACAAACAACATCTTGCAGTAGGTAAACAGGAAAATAAAATAGATGATGTCATTCAGCATTTTACGTAACTGACTTTTCAAAGAATGAGAATTCAAAAAAAAAACAAAAAAAGAAAGAAAAATTACTGGAGAATTCTACTCAAACTTGGTTATAGCTAAAATCAGTATGCCCCTTCCACGGAACAAAAGAGCTCTGATGGCAACTTGAGCAGTAACACCCTGTGACTTCTGTTAAAATGACAGCCAGAGACCAAGCTGGGGGCTAAGAGGAAAACTCTCTCCCCCTCAAAGTTAGGCTACAAATCAATCTTATTTCTTGAACTCTCAAGATATTCTTTAACAAGTTGAACTATGAATTCGGATGAGTCCATGGGAAGAGATTAAGAAGTTCTAATTACCTGGACTGTTTTCTCTGCTAATTTAGTTGTACAGTCTTCTCAAACTTTTCCTCCCGAGTGCCAATAATACGGGGGAGAGGGGGGATAGAGAAGATAGACAATATAAAGAATGTGTCTTTGAATTTTTATGCTTCTTCTTAAAATTTAAGATTAATAAATTGAATAAGATTCATGCTTATTTGCATTCTTCTGCATAATATGTCACTTTGGTTTCAATTCCAAGTTTTTATTCCAAATTGACAATTAAAATTGACTTTAAGAACATGTATCATTTACATTATCCTGGCTACATATATATACTTCAACACTAAAGGTCTTAGATTAGTTGAAAGGGTTTTTGTTTTGTTCCATTTCTATTCAACCACTTTTCAAACAGTGGGCACTTAGTATTCTCTCTCCAGTGTTCTCACCAATATTAACTTCCCTATCATGTTAGACATGTATTGTGAAATTCCAAAAGTGATTTCCAAAACTCAGCCTTGGCTCTTTACCTAAATCTTGAATGAAAATCAGTTATACCCTTCCTACACTGCGATCAAAGTTGGGAACACATCTTTGCTACCATATTTCCTCTCTGTGCTGCTTTTGGTTGCTTTAAATAGAAAACTCCAGTCCAGAAAACCTGCCACTATCTGTGTCGTGGAAAAGAGTCCCTGTCTTCCCAGGAGAAAGAATTCTGAAACTTGTTTAATGATGAGTTTCCACGGCTGATCAGAGGGGATTAATAAGACAGTGTGGCTGGAGCACAATATCAAGTCCTGATATCCTGATCAAATGATTCGCTCAGTTTCCTGTTCTGCACATGAGTCTCTGAAGCTGGATACCAGATTCAACTCCAGATGAGGTTTTTTACCTTTGTGTTACCCATCCATTGTATTTCCTTCTGGAAACTGATGCAAAAGGAAAACAGAAAGCTTTCCATAGATATGCTACAAATTTTTTAAAGAAGTCAAGCACAAATGACTACATATTATAATGATTCCATTTCTATGAAGTGTTTAAAAAAGGCAAATTTATTGAAAAAAGCAGATCAATAGTTGTCCAGGGCTGAGGTCAAGAACAGGGATTAACTGCAAACTGACATAAGAAAAATTGGAGGGGGGGGTGATAAAAATGTTCTAAAATGCGATTGTGGTAACATTTGGACAACTCTATAATTTAATAAAAATCATTGAATTGTAGACTTGTAATGGATGAATTTTGGTCTGAATATTATACCTCAATGAAGCTGCTTTAAAAAAAGAAAACACCAGTCTTTAGAGAGAAAAGGATGTTTCAATTAGGCTTTTAATGATCTAAATACTACGAGAAATGTCTGGCTAATTAGAAATGTTTAAACACAGCCAAATAGGACATTGCTTAATTGAACTGAAAATGACAGCAAAACTAGCAGAAAGCACTCTACTTTAGGAAATAGTTGTTCACATAGATTTTTTTACATGTCTTCTTTTTTGTTAATTTATATTGAACATTTGCAAAAAAGAAATTAATACGGCTTTATTGCTTTGTCATCCTGATGATACATCTCCCAAGAAAAGTTAAGCTAGCTAGCTCTTGTGAAATATTTAATCTGATGAAACAAACAAGTTAATGAAATGTAAAAGTTGAATCATTTTGTCTTCTGAGTTTGTTCATACAGAAAGACCCTGGCAAAGAAAGAAGCAAACAATGCAGAGATAATTTATTATCTCTTTGTATGTTTGCAGATGTATCTCTGGAAAGAATGCAGAGATACATCCAACACTCAGTGAGGAGACTTATGAGTGTTAGATGTTCAACCCATCCAATTTTCTTCTCCTGGGTCCACAGGAAGACTACATTTCCCAGTTTCCTTTGCATTTAGGAGGGAGTCACGTTTGACAAATAAAATAGGTGCAGAACTGATGGATGTCAACTTCTAGGGAGGGCAATAAAACATACTGCATAAACATCCAAGCTCACTCTTTCCTCCCTATGGACACAGCTAGAAGAAAAGATCTCCAAAGTGAGGGCCCAGCTCACAAAAGAATCCTAGATCCTTGAATTATTTCTTTGAAGAAAGCTGACCAGAAGACCTTCCCAATTTGCACTGGACTTTGCCTGAACAAAGCAATAAAGTTTCTTTTGATGAATTATTAAAATTTGGGATTGTTCATTACAGCTAATCACCCTAATTACACTAGTTAGTAAGTTATTTAATTACCTTAATGGCTATAAATGCTATAGGACTTAAAGCATATTTCTTCCTTTCTTCCTTTTATCATCTAGGCGTATTCTTTCCCTGATACCTATTCTTCCTCTCCCTCTTCCTATTCTCCTACCTCACCAATTCCCACTACTGTTCATTTGTGAGGCAGAGGAAGAAATGCATGAGGCTACACCCTACTAAGACCCTTCACCTTATTAAGCACCTTCTGCAAGAACTGAACTATTTGAATCAGATGAAGTAAACGTAGTAGGCTGCAATTCTTCATTCTGAAGAGCCAGAAAGTGTGTCAGGTCTTCAGTTAGAATGTTGCATTAACACCAAGAGCGACACTGTGCCTGTCTTCCTAAAAGCAGAAACAAAACCTAAAACCAAATCAAACAAACAAAAAAACCCTACAGTGAGAAAAGCAAGGAGAGAAATGTCAGAGATGTCAGAGTTGGCAGCCACCTTCTGGGTCATGAACTTTGCTTTTACATTTCCTGAAGCTTTTGGTAGTGGAGAAGTGCATTCTGGTTGCTCTAAGGCTTTTTGTATGTCCCTCCCATCCCAGGGCTATTTTCCCCAAAACAACAGGTTACCATTTCAATTCATTTTCAAGTTGCTTCATTATCCAGGTGCCCTTTCCTCCTTTTCTGCTGTAGAGCAAATTCGAGGAAAGAAGACAGGACCTGCCCCCGTTCAGCAACCACACCCTGCCCTCGTCACCCGGCCCTTCACCTTGTCAACCCCAGCTCCCCCCAACTCCACAGTCAGAAAACAAAATAATTCAAACCAAAAACAGCTCATAAAACAGTAAACAAAATAAAGTCAGTTTTTCTTTGCTTTTTTTAAAGAACAAAATGAAACTTGAGGGAAAACTTACTGGAGTTACAGTTTATCCTGATACAGTCTAGATGGGGAAAAATAAATGAAAGATGAAATTGCATCCTTCAAGGTAACAGCTGCAGACATCCAAAAACAATCAGTCCACCCTTCCGGGGACAGACACACGCAAGAAATGTGGCCATTTTATATATATACAGAATACACAAGTTTAAGGGTGGGTGTATATGTACAGTATATTATTTAGTAAAGTTGGATACATATATATATACACACACACACATATATATACACATATGTATAGAGATATATACTGGTATACATATATATCCACAAGAGACACTGAGTATGCTTTTTATTCCCCCCAAACCCTACTCATTTAGATAAATGGACTTTGAATATTAATCTTATTAAACTTGGAAATTATTTAAAAATTTCCCCATCAAATGCAGTTTATAGTCTATTTCCACCTACAATTGATTTTCTTAAAATTTATCTTCAAAAGTAGCATCAACACAAGGTTTATACTAGTATTCCAAAGATGTATCATCAGTCTGACATTTTGTATCATTTAAAATAATCTGCCCATGAAGTTTCTCAGTGCAGTATTTAACCCTTTCTCTTTTTCTAAAAGCAAACTCCCTCCACCCTCTTCTTAGGTCAGGCCCAAAATGCTATAGAAATTTGCAACGGCAGACTTGCCATGATCCTTAGAGGTAAGGAAAGGGTTAACACCACCTGGTCATTTCCTGTCATAAAATGGCCACTTGCAAACAGCTAACCGCACAAACACCCATCCCAGATTTTAGAGAGGTGGGGTCGGGTGTAGGGGAAGAGTTGTGATGTTATCACAATTGGTTGTGTTGTCTGCTATTGTTCAAAGGCTCCCAGACCAACCCACTCATGAAGCCCATCTCTGTCTTCCTGCCCAAATGCTCAGACTGAGTCAAGTGCCTATAGCATTCAAGGAGAAGGCGAGACAGGTACATGGGCAGGAGGTCTTGGAGGCCTTTGACATCCTGCCTATTTCGCTCTGTGATCCTGCATCTTCAGGGGAGAAAACCTCTTTGCTTTTATTATTTTTTTTTTTTACTGGGGAGTAGAGGGAAGAAAGTGTGGCTAATTTTCTCTTGCTGGTAACCAGACAAGGTACTCCATGCCAGAGATCAGGGTATCATCTATCCTTTTATTAATATCTGGTTAGAGTCATAGACACACAGCATAAAAACTCTCGAGTAGAGTCAGCAGATATTAATAGGGGACTGGGCAGGATGGTTAGAGAAATGGCTCAGATTAATTGTTACCAAGCTGCCCAGGTGAACCTAAGTCTGCTTTATGATGGTGGGAATTCCAATGTCAGATATTAAAAGATAGCAGTAAAATGATAAAGAAAAGAAAGAAAGTTACAGGGGGAAAATACAGTTATAAACTGTGCTCTTCTCCTGCCTAAGGTTGACCCAATAGTTACGGAGGACTTGTCGAGGATAATGCCACCATTTGAATTTCTCAGATCACTTAAAGGGAGCAAGTTAAAGAAAGAAACAGTGGCAAAGGATAGTGAAGAATGCAAACGATGTGAAATCCAGACAGGAGCAATTTATAACACCCAATCATTCTGAGAAGGGAGGCAGGCAGCTTATTTGTTTCCCAGAAGAACATCTCTTGAGAAAAATCTGGGTTTGGTTTCGTGCGGTTAGGTTTGTCATGTGTCGTCAACCGCAACAGAAAAGTGGGAGCAAACAGCCCTGGAGCAACTGGTACGATCACCAGGCAGGGGAGGCGGTGCCCCAGAGAGGACTGGGAAGGAGGAAGGCAGGTAGGGAGGAAGGGTGGGGCTTCAGCTCCTGGCTGCTCAGACCATCACCCAAAGCTGGAAATGTCCCTTCCTGATGTACTGAAGGGAAAGGGGGAACAGGTGTGTAGGCGTGCTAAAGAGAGAAGGAGTGAGCCTAAAGCAACCAGCCCAAGCATTGTAAGCAAGGAGTGGTCCTCTCCTTTGCTCTCTGTGTAGCTGAGCATTTTATTCCTAGACCACCTGGTTTAGAAAAAGCAGTTGTGTTGGGTGCATCTTTCCAAGTTGACCCAAACGGCTACTTGAATTGAATGAAGTGTCTTTAAACCAATGTGAGGACTTGGAGCTTCCAAGATGGCAGACAATTGGCTATTTAAAGTCGAGAAGTGAAGGATTATTTTGTTACTTTACCTAGCCAATGAGTGGTTTGAGGAGAAAAATCTATCCCAGGCCCTTTTTCATAGACTCTGGAAGGGTGGTCATAATAGCAAAGATGTACTTTTTAATGAAAAGTGAATAAGGGAAATTAGCTTGGGAAGGCAATTTCCTTTAGATCTTTCTGCCATAGCAGCCACAGTTCTCTCTCTAACTTAGTCTTCAAATGGTGCTTGAGAGGTGAGTGTGTGTGTGTGGGTGTGTGTGTTATTCATTTTGTTTTAGTTTCTCATTTTATTTGAGTAAATGAGGAGAAATGATGATTTTTCCATACTGCAAAGTTTTGGGTTCCACGTGGGAGAGACAAGTGTTTCTAGGAGTTGTGTGTCTTCAGTGATACAAACAATACAGTAAAGTAGTCAGCAGCCCCAAGTTTCTAGAGAGAGAACATCTGGAAAATTGGAGTTCCATTAACCAAACTGCATGACACTCCCTGTGAGTCTCCACCACTGAAGAAGGGTCCCAAGCATTGGACTGCAAAGGGCCGTGAATGAGGGAGGCCAGGTCACACCAACAGTGAGTGATTTTTTTTCCTTTTTGTAGTTTGGCTCAATTTAAGCCAGGTGCTATGAAGTAAGGAAATTTCTCTGTGAATGTTTAAAAGGTGGCCATCATGAAAAGCAGTTAAAAGTCATTAAAACTGTCACATCATTGAGCTGTAGTGTTGACCTGTGAAGGTAACAGATAACCCATGATGGTTTAATAGTTTAGAAACACAGGTTCCAGTCCCAGCTCTGCTACCAACTTTTTATGTGAACTCTGAAAAGTTCAGAACTCTGAACAAAAAAGTTATATTCTTCTTTGTTTCACATCTATAAAACTGAGCATTAAAAATGCTTTTTTGATTTATCTCACCAAGTTATTGGGAAATTAAAATGAGACTTTCTTCTTAAATCTTGAAATGTACTAGAATAAAAATAATAAAATATTTGTATTCTATCTCTTAGTTCTAAGGGATCAAAAATGATTGATCAATTGCTAACACCTTTTTAAAATGTGCTGTGTGTAGGACACTTCTCGTGCCTGCCATGACCACACTGGCCTTGCTTCCAAAAGTAAGGACCTTGGAAAAGCCTCATCACCTTGACATTCGGAGATGATTACATTAGAGGAATATACACTAGACTTTTATATTATAAGCTTAGGTGTGTGGTCAATTTGCAATAAACTGGAATAGCCTTTGTGCCTGTGCTCAGAGATGCAGTTTAAATGGAGTGAGGGGTGGAAGTGACCATGTGCAATCAGTTCTTGGGGAATGCATGTGAATGCACACTTTGCTTGAAGATGTGCATTTCTTCCATAACCGAGGAAAGGAAAATATGAATTCATTAGGAAAAAAACTTTCATGAAGAGGTTTATTTAGAGATGGAGGAGATGCTTCAAACCAAGCATGACTATGAAGAGTTCCAGAACTCTCCCAGAAACAAGTTCCAGAAACGTAGAGTCAGTTCTCCTTGTTAGGTCTGAAAGGAAGTGAAATGAATTCAAACCAGTAACTGCAGTGAACCATACCCTCTAGAGAAAACCACAGTCACTATTGCTTCAGGAGAAGCACAGTACTCTCTAGGGAGGGGCTCTGTTTTCAGTAATGCGCCTCACCTTGGGAGATCTGCCCTTGACTCTGTGCCTAAAGAAGCCAAAAGGCAAAAGTAAAGTCTGTGTAAATAGCACATCTCCCAGATTTTAGTGAGAGGTTGAAATAGAGAAATAATGCTTCTAGGGATACGTACACAGGATCTATAACTATGTAACTGTGTGCGTGCGTGTGTGTGTGTGTGTGTGTGTCAAAGAAAAAGAACCTGTCCATCTTCTTCCTACTCCATTTTATTTACTCTCTCCCCCCATTTTTTCTTCTGAAGTGTGAGACCAGTCATAGTTGGCTTTCTAATCTTCACAAAACAATATCTAAAAAGAAAAAAAACTTGTCTGTTTTAAGGCCACATGTATTTCCCCAGAACCCTTTGGGACTGAATCATCCTTGTATCTGTCTTATTTGAAATAGATGCATAATTAAAAATTATCTTTATCATCTTTTTCTGTGAGCTATTAGGAAGTTATACTTTGGGGGTTTTTTGTCTTATTTTCTTAATCATTTTTGTTTATTTCTTCTGCTGTTTTTCAGAGGAGACAATCTGCTACTGGTTGTTGGTTTGAGGTAACACAGTCCTTGTTGGTTTGCTGAAGGTGGGGAGGACAGTGCAGGGAAGGGAAGGTGAGAGGGACAGGGGTATGCCAGGCCCTGCAGGCTGCTCAGTACACTCTGTTCTCAAGGCTGTTTGCTATGCGGGCCGCAGGCTTTGGGCCTTTGAAGGGTTGAATACCATCTTTTGATTTACCATGGCTGATGGTGGGGAGGATTGGAAACTCAAGAACACAACAGAGATCCAGCAAGAGAGAAAAAAACAAAACCCAAAACAACCAAACACACACATACACAAACAAAGAAAAACCAAAAGACACGCTGAACTCAAATGAGGTTGGACAAGAAAAAGGGCACAGTGTTGTAAAAGCTACGAATTGGAAGAACAGGAAAAAAGACATAACGAGCCACTGCTCAAAACAGTCTTCTGTGTCCTCAAGATTTTTAGGATTGTAACATAGGCATTTTGCAAGGGTGACCAGTTGATTGGGAAACAGACAAGACTGGCATAGATTCAAATCCCACCTTTCCACCAGGCCACCTCGGGTTTCATATGGTCTTGTGTCAATATGTCGATACATTTGCCCATTGTGTCTTCTCCATGCCTCCAGCAAGTCATTCCACTGAAATCCTTTTAAAGAAGCTCTGTATCCAAACATTCTACACACCCAAAGAAATACAGTCTTAGAAAGTAAGGAAACTGACTTTCTATTGAGTAGAATTAGCAGAAATACAGGGTTGATTTTTTTTCCTCCAAAAATCAAGAGGTCCCCATTCCCCACAGAAGGTCAATTAAAATCCAGTCAGGAAAGGTAAAAGCAGGAGAGAATGTGAGGCCATAGCTAGGGAATTTCCAAAGTATCTGTTACTAGTAATTACAGTGGAAAAACAGATCTTCTCCCAATAAAGCTACAAATTTGACATTATTATAATTTTTCAATACTAAGAAAAAAATGAAGGTTAGAGTAATTAGTGAGTAACAGTGTGAGGTAACAATCTTTATAAAAAGGCCTGTTAAATGATGGATAAAAATGTCAGGAAGGTAGAGAGGGATACATATCAGAAGCCACATTCTCCTTCCACAATGTCAGAGACACCAACTTAAGGAATTATTTCTCCAAAGCGATAATAAAATTCGACCTGAGCTCTCCACAGGGAGAAAGTATAGGGACCCCGGTGTCATCAAGGCCACCACAATTCCCCATTTGAATAGTCATTGTGGGGCCAGGGATGAGGATTCTTCAACCTACTCCCAGAGCTGTGAGCTTTGCAGCCCCACCCTCCCATTTTGCCTCCATTTCCTGCCCTATCCCTGCCCTCAGCTTTGACTGTTTTGAGTGGTGACCAAGGAGCTGGACTTAATGAGAATGTGATTGATCAAAAGATGGACCAAAGTAGCGTGTTTTACACAAAGCTAAACAGTTCCATAAAACCAGGAAAGGAAACTTAGAAAACAAATCATCTATTAAAAGAAAAAAAAACAAACAAACAGAAAAAAAAAACACCACTGTCAGAAACCAGAAATTGACATCAAAACCTCATGCAGGAACAAGGAGAAGGTGTTTGTTGCTGTTGGATTTTATCCTTGGTCTATTAAACAAGAGGTGAGCAGCTAACTTTCAAGAAACAAACAAAGAATTCAATCAAACCAATGAAAATCAGAAAAGAAAGGGAAGACAAGCCCAAACAGTGGCAGAGGGTACTTCATACGATACCTAGGTTAACCATGAGCTTGACTCGTCCCCCATCCAGCTCCAGACGCAGGGTGTCGGCAGAGTCCCTGGAGGTGGTAGCCACCAGCAGCCCATAAGCTCGCTGGGACATGAAACGGAAGGACACATCCTCTGCCTCGGTGTGCATGACCATGGGCATGATGATCTTCATGTACATGCTGCCGTCATAACTCAGGATGGATGCCTCTGCAGAGAAGGATGGAGGAGACTGTTAGGGTGAAGGGTGTCAGTTTACCTTTGCTTCCAGTGTAAGTAGAGCAGGATGGAGGTAAAACCAAATCTGTAGACAGGTGACTTGAGTTTGCTAGATTTCCACTGCCACTTTTAAGAGACATGACCTTCAGAAGACCATTGAAACTCCGAGGTTCTATTTCCTCAATGGCAAAAGATTAGTATATTGCAACTAGCCCTACTATGCTCACAGGTTTGTCATGAGTACCAAATGAAATAATGGATATGAAGGCAATTTGCAAAAGTACAAGTGCCCTCACAACCCGTAATAAATGCATTTCTGTCATGCTACAGATAAAATGAAAGTTCATTAAATAAACTTAGAATCCTGTAAGTACATTTAATGAGGACAAGAAGGAGAGCAGCAGTTAATAAACACCACAGCAAACAAGTAGATATTTGTCAGAGGACTTCTAGAAGGAGGAAAGAGCAGCAGTACAACCTGGTCCCCATCATATGCCTATGGTCAGGCACTGTAAGAATTTGCTTGGTCCATTCAAAGATTGATAGAGTCAGAGTTACAACAAAAAAAGCTAATGACACCCTTCAGAGCCAGTCATTCTACTTTTATTCAAATAGCACTTCTAAAGGAAGAAACAAACTCACTTTTGTTTGATCCCTTCTGCAGTCCAAGCACTTTGGTTATAAGCTCCCTCACTACTTCCCTCCCCCAATAAGTTATCTCAATCAAAGCTATAATGTGGATCTATTTATTCCTACTTTCAAACAGAAAATCCAGGCTCTTCAAGGGGGATGTTATCATCCCCAACTCATACAGCCTGGATTTGAACCCAATAGATCAATACCAAGTCCAGGACATGTTTTGCAACAGCATGTTGCTCGAAATGTGAATGTGTTTAGTCATTCACTTAGCAAACATTTTTAGAGAACACAGGGAGAGAATATCATTCGCATTCCTAAGAAACCAATCTGTCATTGAGCTCAGTATCAGGAATTGAGTAGGTCCTTATAAGATGTGTGTGGTTGCCAAATAGTTGCTGCCTACCTACACGCACTGTGGAGAGTACACAAATGTAACAGCTAAGGCCCCTGTTCTGAAGAGAGACCTGGCCCCTGCAGGTATCTGTACTGGAATATAAAAATAGTTAAATGACACAGGAACGATACATCAGTAAAGGCAGTGGCATTCAGGAGACAGAGGCTGTGGCATGCAGTTGAGTAGATAGATAGGTAGAGTCTAGGCTGATCTTGGGAGATGGGTAAGGTTTGTTTTAAAGAAGGGATGGCATCAGATTTGATAGGTAGATAAAACAGTACTTCTGTATACATAAAAGAAAGGAGGATGCTCAGATGATAAATTATTCAGCTTAACAGAAGCATCTAGCATGCTTTGATAAATAGTTAGCAAAGATAATTTGAGATGGGAATAAAGTCAATGGACTTTGGCGGGCACTGGGAATTAAGTGAATGGTCTTAGATTTTGAGCTACTCTGATGTACTTATTTGTGATACTGTGTGCCAAGGCACTCTTCCAGGTGTTTAGGACATGGCAGTGAACAAGGGAGATGAACATCTTCTGCCCTCATGCATACACCAAGTCAAAACAGGAAGAGATCAGGCAGACCCCAGGGACAGTTCTCACAATTGCCTGCATCATTGTCATCCCCCCCATGCTACTGACATAACACACAAAAGTCCATGAAAGGCAGAATAAATGCACTCATTGCTGGGAAGCAGCCATCACCTAAGCGATACCCATGACGTGTTAACAGCTGTTCATTACAATTTGAAACCTCTAAGGGATCGCAGATAAAGGTGTTACTGTTGCAGACACCATTTCCATAAAAGACATGTGATAAAGTTCTATTTTTAGATTGGAAGCATAATCTAATTTTAACACAGGCTCCAGATGTGAGGGGGGAAAAAACTGTTTTATCTCCTGAAAGAGGAGAATCACAAAAAGATCAATAATGATAGCTAAAGTTATTGAGCACTTACTGTTTGCTTGGTGATGTCTAGGACATTACATGCATTAAAAAGACATTAAATTGTCACATGGGCACCATGAAGAAGGCAATATTATTATTATATTTTATAGGTACCAGATCACACAGCTAAACAGTGGCAGAGCTGGGAGTCGCACACAGGCAGTCTGATTCTTTCTGCTGTATACTTAGCCTTCCTGTCAAATTGTCAGAGAGCATGATGGGAGCACACCATGTTTCCCGAGAACCCACAGCCCATCTTTAATGCTTCATGGCAGAGTGTGGTGTTCTTGCGTATGTAAATACATATGTCTATTTCTGTGTGTGCACACACATATACATACATAGATACCATTATTTAAATTTTATATTATTTATAAACACATAAAATTATATAAACATAAATAAAACATACATTTATAAAAATATATTATATATAAATATGCACAGTGCTCACTGTCTGTGTAATTATGAGCACCACTAATCATAACTGGGTACCATCTACTGTGCACATGCATATACGATATAGGGGCCCTCCTTTTTAAGAGATATTAGGGTATTCATGGAGCTGCGAAATGATTAATTCTACACCTTGAACTTAAATATATTCCAAGAGTAATGGCCACTTGAATCCCTCTGGATATAGTGCCAGAACAGGTGTATAAATGAATGCATCTTTATACCAGTGTTGGTAGTATTAGAGAATAAATATCAGGTGAGTATGCAGTTAAACAGCTAATGGTACAAAATAAAGTGTGTATCTCAATGTGTCTCTCTATCAGTATGTTCTATTATTAACCTGATAATTTTAAGAGGATGCAATGAAGCAGAAAATTTGATATAGGAATCAGCCAAAACAAAATCTGTTTCAGGATTCATATTAATTTGCTTAAAAGATTTCAAACACAAAGAGTACTACAAATAGAATACTTAATTTGAGGGAAAAATAGCCTAACAAGGAAACCTGTTCAATCTATAACCTACTGGGTTATTGAATATTGATAGACCACATCATGGGATGTTTCCACAATGGTTCTTATACAGTTTTCCTATTCTTCCTTTACTCTTTTATTACCCTTTTGTCTTAAGTAAATATTTCCTGGCATACTATTTTAATTCCTTTAATGACTCTTAAAGAACCATATTTTTGAGCTACTTTCTTAGTGGTTACTCAAGGGCCTGCAACATACATCTTGGTTTATCAAAATCTACTTTATACTTAGACTAACTTACTTCCAGTAAAACACAGAACCTTTACTCCTATATAGCTCTCTGTGCTTCTTTCTTTTTCTGTTATTATTGTTATTCACATCATGTCACAAACAATACACTGTTGTAATGTTTGCTTTATAAAAACTTGTGTCTTCTCAACAAGTGATCAGGAGAGCTAAAGTATAATTATAAAGTTTTTTTAATGAAGCTTATTATTTAGCATCTCTGTATCTCTTCATTTCTTCCTGTGGATTCAAGTTACCATCTGGTGTCATTTCTTTTCTCCGACATAGCTTCATTCCTTTGTATTTTATTGTCAAATATCTTTTGCAATTCTGTTACAGGCCCAACAATATAATTTTATAGATAGTTTTAGGAAATTTTAAAAATCTTTTAAGAAAAGAAAAAGAAATGCATAATTACATTGCCTTTTATCATTACCTACATAATTTCTTTTACTGAAGCTCTTTGTATTTTCACATAGATTCAGATTACTGTCTGTTTTCACTTCCTTCCAGCTTGAAGAACTTTGTTTAGTAGTTCTTATAAGGCACGTATACTAGCAATGAATTCTCTGTTTTTGTTTACCTGGGGATGTCCTTTTGCTTACCTTTTGGAAGATAGCTTTGTTGGATATAGGATTCCTTGTTGACCATTATATTTCTTTCAGCACTTTCATTGTTGTCTTTCTGCTGGTGCCCTCCATTGTTTCTACAGAGACATCAGCTGTTAATCTTCTTGTGGTGCCCTTGTACAGATGCATCACTTTTCTGTTCATACTTGCAACAATTTCTCATTGTCTTTGGCTTTCACCATTTTTATTATAAATGATCCAGATGTGAATCTCCTTGTATTCATCCTACTTGGAGTTCAATGAGCTTCTTTGATGTGCAAATTAGTATTTTTCATCAAATTTGGCAAATATTCAGTCATCAATTTCTAAAATATTTTTTCCATCCCTTCTTCTCCTTTCCTTCCAGTACTCCTATCATACATGTGTTGGTATACTTAATGGTTCTTCACATTTCTCTGGCATGCTGTTCATTTATCTTCATTCATTTCACTTTCTTCTTTTCAGATCAAATAATCTCTATTAATCTATCTTCAAGTTTGCAGATTTTTGCTTTTGACAACTCAAATATGCATATTTTTGCTTCAAATAAAAATTTTGAATTTGAAAAGTTGAAATATAAATATAAATTTATATCTATCTGTGTGTCAGTGGGTGTGTATATTTGTGTTTCTTTTTATATTTATACTTATATTTATGGTCTCTTTATTAACACAAGGTATATCTAGAAAAAGTCCAACAATTGTTAATATAAAAAGAATTGTTTGTGTGACATCGATATAGCCTGACAACCAAGGAGAAGAGACTGGAACATGCCTGCATGAACAATGACCACTTCACTGTATTAGTCAGTGGGGATGGTAGAGGCCATTGAGTGAGAACATGTACTGTGCGGCCATCACATTCAAAATGACTGAGTCAGTAAAGCAATGAACTGCATCAAATATTGAGTTAAGCTTGAACTTTCTTCCATGGAAACTATTCGGATGATTCAGAAGGCTGCAGCTACGGGCAACAGGTGACTGGCAGCTTCATCATGGCCATGCGCCTGCTCATGTATCATGTCTCATGAACAATTTTTAGCAAAACATCAAATCACTCAGGTGACTTAGTTCCCCTATGGTCCAGATTTGGTGCCCTGTGACTTCTGGCTTTTCCCCAAACTAAAATCACCTTTGAAAAGGAAGAGATTTCAGACCATCAGTGAGAGACAGAAGAATGTGATG